TATTATTTAACGTCGACAACCGCCTGGACACACCTAAGATGACCGTAAAAACTAAGGTGTCGGACACTCACTCTGGCACTCCCTCCGTCCGCTCCGCTGTTTCAGACCTGATCTCCTCGCTCCCCGGTGTTCTGGCTGGCTGCGGGGTGGCAGGAGATTGTCTGTCTGACACAGGCGCTGCGACGGCAGCTGATGTGGAACCAGGTGAAGCTGCGATGTCCTTGGCGAGCTCCTCAGCAGGGGCGGGTGACGGCTGAGGTTGGGGCTGTGACGGACCGCTGGGCGCCGGCGGCTGAGCTTTACTTTCGGAAGCGGCGTGAGCGTCCGAGGATGAAGATTTGGCAGAGTTGGGCTGCGGGGCCTCACTGACGGCTGGAGGGGTGGCTGCTGCGGGAGAGCTAGCAGAGCTGGAGCTGCCGCCGCTCGGCTGGAGCTAGAGAGAGAAAAAAAAAAAAAAATAGGAGTGTGTTAAATTATCTTGAGTGCAGACATGTGCTGCAGAAAAGGAAGGGCACCGCGAAATTGGGCTCTTTACTGTCGAGGGGCATGCGGAATGTGCACACCACCAAGATTCTCCTTATGCCTCTACCAACCACACAGAACAGTTGTGGTTATTGTTATGTATTCATTTAAAATCCAAATGCTTGGTTAAGCCAATTAAAATGGATACATTTCATCAGTAAAGAACGGTCAGGAATGTACAGGAGGACGTCCAGGGTATGTGTCGGATGACATTGCCCCAGGACTTGGCCTCTCGATTGGTCAGACGTTTTCTAATTTCACGCTTCGGCTAAATAAATAAACGAACTCGTCTTACCCTGAATTCCTTGCCAAATTTTCTCAGTGCTTCAATCTGTGACCTGTGCTGAACTGAGGGTGCTGCAGTGAGAGTGGAAACAGAGGTCAACGGGAAAAAGGTGAAATTCTTGAAATTCATTTGCACTGCTCTTGGGCTTTCGTGTGTTTTCGTGTTTCTAGACGTTGCACACAAACCTTTGCTACACTTGCTGTCCTCTGCGATGCTGGGACTCTCGGCTGAACGTTCTTTAGCAGCTGCACCGAGGATCTCGTTCACTGCAGTGAGAGGGGAAAAAAAACGATTCACTTATTAGTGGCAACGCTTCATTTTTTTTAATACTACCATCAATCTTGTGTTGTTTACTGCTGTATGGTAACCCAGGAAAGTATTGGGGGGGGGGGGGAAACCCCACT